AATGCATAAGCAATCATCAGTCGACAAGCGTCGAAAGTTTGACCCGGATGCCTCCTTGGTGTTGGTGGGCATCCGAGGTTGCGGCAAAAGGTCTCTGGGGTTTGTCGCTGCTACTGCATTAAAACGACGATTCATTACTGAGGATCACTACTTCAAGGAACGCACGGGCTACTCGAGACATGATTATCTCAAGCACTATGGGAGCCAAGAGTTTCAGAAGCGCGATATCGAAGTCCTCAAGTCCATGCTAGACAATCACCGCTCTCGGTGCGTGATTGAGTGTGGGCTGGGAAGTTTGACTCGTCCCGTGCAAGAGCATCTCCGGCAGTACTCGGCCACCAATCCAATCGTGTACATAATCCGTGATATGGATCGCATACAGAGTCTTTTAGGCTTGGAGGATCAAGCAGTCAAACTCATCGGTGAGGGTGATCCTCTGCATCGAACGTGCTCCAATTTTGAATTTTACAATATCGAAGACCGCTCCAGCTTAGCTGCCCAAACGGACGAAGGGACTCCCGATCGGCGCTGCGTCGACTATTCTTTCAAATTGAAAGAAGCCAAGGAAGATTTCACGCGTTTTGTCCGGTTCGTAACAGGCACCGATGTGGGCCACACCAGCTATGACTCGCCTTTTGTTCTTCTTGAGACGCCGCCAGAACTACGGTCCTATACGCATGCCATATTTGTCCGCTCTTCCGACCTTCTAGAGGGCACGGTGAAGATACCTGAGTTGGAATCGGGCGGGGATGCCATTGAGCTTTGCGTTGACCGCTGGGGTGTGGATATGGCAGCAACCATGAGCAAGCATGTTTCTTTGCTTCGAAGGAGCGCTCGCACTCCAATCATAATATCCATCGATACCACTTCGACAGGCATTGCCCAAGGCAACTCCTCTGCGTCACAAGTCAGCAATGCGTATTTTGCCATCGTGGAGCATGGCCTGCGGTTGGGGGTCGAGTACTTGGCGCTCGACCTTAACCAGGACCGGTCTCAAATTAGCGAAGCGATTCGCACTAGGGGAAGGACCAAGATCATAGGCCAACGCATATTTGAGCCGTCGGCTCCCGAAACCTGGGAGAGCCAAGCATGTTTTGATCTCTACCTTGAAGCCGAAAAGCTTGGCTGTCAGCTGGTCCGTTTTCTTCGCGTCATTACGGCGCGGGAGGAGAATGCGGCCGTTGTGAAGTTCACAAACAAGGTTCAGGCTTTACCTGGAGAACATCCACCGGTCATTGCCTACAACGTGGGCAGTTTAGGACGGACCTCCCAAGTGTTCAACTCCATTCTTACCCCCGTCACGCATCCCGCAATCGAGCGCTCCTCAAATAATGGACGCGACCCTCAGATCACTTCACGGGATGCTGTCCAAGCACTATTCCAGAGCTATGTTCTTGACCCCCTCAAATTTTGCATTCTGGGTGGCAATGTAGCCTATAGTCTTTCTCCCGCAATGCACAATGCTGCATTTAGACAATGTGGTATGAACCACACTTATACGATACCCGATTCTCCCTCCCTTGCGATTCTGGATCGGCTGGGCCGCGATCCGCATTTCGGAGGGGCGAGTGTGGTTCAGCCCTGGCGAGTACAGTTATCTCACAAGCTCGTGGCGAAGAGCCGCCATGTCGAGGCAATTGGCGCCATCAACACGATCATGCCATTACGGGCCAGCGCCGATGGCGCCATGTATTCCCTGCAAGAGCAAGCGAGTCGACGTAACCAGGCCGGGCCTGTGGTGGGGTGGTACGGAGAGAATACTGATTGGGTAGGTATTATGACCTGTATCAACCGCAATCTCTCCCCACGCAATGCAATCAGTCCCTTGAAAACAACGGGACTGGTGATTGGAGCGGGTGGCATGGCTCGCGCGGCGGTCTATGCCATGCTTCGCTTGGGATGCCGAAAAATCTTTATATACAATCGGACATTGGCACGGGCTGAGAGTGTGGCTCGACATTTCAATTCTTGGGCAGCGTCTCAGGTGGACGCAACAGAAGTAGTATACGTGCTGAAATCACTCAAAGATGAATGGCCGGCCGATGCTTGCCCTCCATGTATGATTGCATCCTGCGTACCAGCAGACCCTGACCGAGACGAACCGCCCGCCAATTTCGAAATGCCGATGCAGTGGTTGGGCAGCCCGACCGGAGGCGTGGTTCTTGAGGTACGTTTCTTGGAGGAATCTGAAGCAGTTGGGCGTCGCTAATCTATTGAACCTAGTTCGCTTACAAACCATTGGACACGCCACTGCTACGTCAAATGCGTAGCATCAGAAGCGAGACGGGCCGGCCGTGGGTCTTGGTAGATGGGCTTGATAATGTAGTCGAACAAGCAATCTCGCAAATTGAGCTGATGACGGGACGCAAGGCGCCCCGGCGCTTGATGTTCTCGGAAGCACTTCGCAATTATGTCGGCGAAGACGGGCCTTTCGATGAAAAGACTATTCAGACCCGACTTGAGCAGGTTCGTTGATCGGCCCGGGCATCTCGTCGGTGCGCAGCTACTGCAGAATGACAGATTGTACATATATTCCTGGGTTGACATGCAAGTCTGAATAATAATGGTGACCGAAAGTTGGTAGTGCCCTTCTCCACAATTCATCCCCACCACGGATAGCTTCTCTTCTCATCCCGTTTTCCCACTCTCCACAATGGCTAGATAGGTCAATCACGACATGTGTAAAGTGATCGGGGAACAAGCACAGTGGGGTTTTCAACCCACTACGTTGCTAGCTCATTGGGCCAACTTTGCTAGGCACCAGGCACCCATTTTAGCCAGTCCTCTTATTGCCTACCTTATCTCTGGGTCACAGAGGAGTCTACCTACGCCGACCATAACCGACTGGATCCGATCCATGTGCCTGGTCTGACGGGGACCAGTGGCGCGGTGCAGAATGGCCATGGCATGATCATACCTTCAAGGTGTATGCAGGACGAAAATCAGGGCATACCTGCCTAATACCTATCCACTTGGCCCCTAAATCATCATCCAGCCAGTCGCCCGGATCCTTCAAGAAAAGCTGATGCCTTGATTCCAATGATTACTGTCTGTATTTGGTGGGATGGTGGGATGGATGGTTGCGAGTGTGCATCCACCGCAATCAGGAGGGAGTGAAAACTGGACGATCAAAGCCACGGGCTCGGGAATGCATTGGATAGAGGGACGTGTTTACCCGCATTCGCTCAAACCCCCTAACAGTTTCATTCGTGGGTGATCAATCATTATTGACTTTTGGCTGCGAAGCATATATCGTCTCCAGTAATGAAAGATCAAGGTCCATACCTCCTTGTGCCGGTGCAAAGCTATGTCAAAATCAAAATGACAGACAAAATAAGGGGCTAGGAATGTATCCCAAGACCGCAAGCATGCGTTATCTAGCATCGCACGTCGCTGAGATTCCTCGAGGTATGAGCGGCATGGTATGGGTAACTGAGGCTACATGAATGGCATACTCGAGGCCTAACTCTGTTCCTTGCTCTGACACATTCCTTCATTCAGGACATAATCATTAGCGCCCACAAGCCTAGTAGTGATGGGCTCAACCCGAAGCAAGCCGGCATGGGGATGCCTTTTCCGCACACGAAACAATATTATGTCCGCGACAACCCCGACCATATGCAGATACACATGTTGAGACACAGCAAGGAAACTTTTTCCTCACACCACAAGGTCATTTGTTCCCAGCGCCGAGCTTAGCCCTCTTGACTTGATGTCGATATCACCATGAAGGCCAGATTGCCCCATGTCCATGTCCTCACCCCCCTCGTATCAATCCTGGCATTTTCCTGTCTCGCGACCAGCACAGAGCACACGACCGACGAATTCACTTTCAGCTGTGTCCCGTTGACCACACAACTCTCCGATCCGATAGTTTCCCCAGGTGGAATATCGGAACATGTCCACGTGATTGCCGGAGGTACAGCATTCCAGAGGACAATGGGCGTCAACACCGCCCGCAACGCCCAAGAGACGACTTGCGGCGTAGCGATTGATAAGAGCAATTACTGGATCCCACAGTTGTACAATCAATTACAGAATGGCTCTTTCCAGCTCGTGGAGTATCAGTCGAGTGTATGATGCCCCTTCAGTAGTTCCTTTAGGCCGCGGCGAACTGACCCAGCCAATCAGGCTATATATTACCTCAACCGAGCGTGTGAGTATGGAGTGAATCTAACGAGCTGCGATGCGTCGGAGTATCCATTGGCACCACCAGAAGGGCTGAGGATGGTAGCTGGGGATCCTGATCTACGGTTCGAACAACAGCACGGCCTTGATTGAGACCTCGTGACTAATGGAGAAGGACAGATCATACAATGACTCTGATTTAGCTCAGAAAGCCATATCGCACATGTGCATAGAGTATGACGGTAGCTCCAACGAAACAAAGCATTTCCCACGACAACCTTGCCAGATCGTGCGGTCGCAGGTCTTTATGCCTTCCTGCTGGGATGGTAAGAACCTCGATAGTGCGGATCACAAAAGCCATGTATGTGGAAACGACATAACATTGTTCATCATTCCGGCTAATGTACTGTACACTTCCAGATGGCATACCCCGCGGTCGGGGATTATAATAAAGGTGTCTGTCCTGAATCTCACCCAGTGGCGATATACTCAATCTTCATGGAGTTCTTCTTCAACACGGGTCCAATAGGGAGTCGCCAGAGCCTGGTGTACTCCATGGGTGACACAACTGGGCATGGATTGCACGGTGATTTCATTCACGGCTGGACCGACCAAGCTGCCCTGCAACAAGCTATGGACACCTGTACGGGGCCCAAGGGATTAGACGATCCTGATTGCTCGGTAACAAGAACCCAAAAGAGGGCCTTAACGCCCCTGTCGCAGCCTTTGGATGTTGAGGAGCCGAAGGATGAACTGGGACAGAGTGGACCTCTTGACAGCTTGCCGGGAGATAACCCTGTCATGTGGCCGGATGAGCCGGAGTGATATGATAGCAAGTACGAACAATTGCGAAAGATTTGACCTCTCCCTCTTGAGATTATTGAGTGGAGATATTGACGATTTGGAAAGGGGGGGAGATAATGGACGAATGAACGAATCTTGACAAAACAAGACCAGACTGTTGTGCTGTAGTTATCCCTCGTGTTGGTGTGTATTGCAGTGGCGTTTGAAAAAAGTGGCCCCTCAAAAAAGCCGGGTAGCGTTGACTCCGCGCGGTCTTGCGCATCGACAGAGGCGAGTCGCAGCTAGGACTCTGATTGCTTCTTTGATTATTGCGCACCAGCTGATCCGATTGGGATAAGTGATGTAATGTGATGGCAAACGAACTTTCCCAACACCGAATTTCCAACGCTCGAAAGATCGCCACGCAACCATCAACTCAGATAGCCCATTCCCTTTCTCCACCACTTCCAAACCCCCCGCTGCTCCATCAGGCCCCCAAATTCCTTGACTGAGTCAATTTCAGAGACGCCAGGCCTCTGCTTGGGGGGGTCGGCCCGCTCTCCAGCGCTGTTTTGTTCGTACTCAACCTCCAAGAGCCCCGGTCGAGTTACCAGCTGAAAATCCTTATACCTCAAATTCCGCACGACATTCACCCACGACTCGACGGCGTCTTTGTCTCTCGCTTCCACATACATAATCCCCGGACAACCTCCGGAGCGCAGCAGCACGAAGCAATTGTGCATGTCGGCTGCCCGTTTCAGGGCGGAGACCTTCTTGCGCGAGGTGATGTGATGGGTGCGGATCAGAGCATTGTAAAACATCTTACGTCTTTGGGGAAATTGTCAAGCATAAGTTGCATTAGTAGGTGGGGTTTCGAACAGGACTGGTCCCCTGTTAAACTGACCCAAGCCTGACAATTGTTTGCCTTTCAAAGGTTGGCGTTGATTGTGTTTGTTGAGGTCAGGAAAAGATGCTGCTGATTGGAAGAAGACGAGCGGACCGCGGGCTGTTTGGTCGGTTTGCAGGTGACGTCACGATGTGTTATTTATTCTCCTCCCAATCTGGAAGGAGTTGTGAGGCGGCGGCGCCCCCGAGATGAGCAACGACGATAAGAAGGCTCAACTTGCATGAGTCGCGCCGCATTGCATCTATCCATGAACACCCTCCTCATCAACTCTCCATCAACTCTCCATAGCTAAATCACATAATTTATCCCTCCACTTCTAAAGCCGCTTAGGCGCATATCTCCTCATCAAAGAATGAAATCGGGAGTTTCTATCCTGTACTGAGAGGTGAGTATCTTCTGAGGACTCTCATATGGCGAAAAGCCGGTGTCCGTAGCTGGGATTAACAGATTCACTCACAAGAGGCACGCGTCTGCTCGAGGTGCTTGCATCTATGCGATGGACCTGGTAGATTCTGACTATATCCTTCAGCGCGGTCAAATTTCATTGACTAAGGTCTCGTCACCGAGTAACTTATGACCATGACCATGGCTCAACTCGAAACGCTGCCCACTGAGACTCTGTTGGATATCATTTCTTGCCTCCGTGGTCCCCGTGATGTGAGAACGTTACTGAATCTCTGTTTAACGTCGAAACGACTGTGGTTAATCACACAACCTTTCCTTTATAACGTGTTCTACAAGTATGTCTTCGATCATAACAACGGGATATATGTGAAGCGAGCGAGCCGCATCTGTCCCCTTCTCGCTTTCGCTAGGACCCTTGCCTTGCGACCTGACCTGGGTGGACAAGTATTTCGTCTCTGCATCAATGCGAATCACGACCCTTCAGACTCGGTCGGGGAATGGTCAGCAGCGGTTAGGAACGAAACCATCGCAGTGCTGAACAGCGTCATCCACCAGAAGCGGATTCCCTGCCAGCTCGATTATGTGACTGCCATAAACGGTGCAAGAATGAATCCGCTGATTGTGGTCATTGCTGCTCTCGCTCCGAATCTTGAGAACTTGGATCTTGTGAGCGGCCGCGAAGGTCTGAGAGGCTTGAGGCCACTTTATCTACCAGGGCCTGATGATAGACCTGCATACCTGTCTAGGTTGAAGTCTCTTCACATAAAAGATAAGTTAAAAATGCGACATCCGACTATGCCTGAAGTGGTCGACTTAATGTGCTTGCCTAGCTTGAAGGAATTCTCCTTGGCGTTTTGCGAGGGCAACGGCTCTGGGTGTCCAACCTTTGAGCTTCCACCCGGTTCTTTCAAATTTTCCGAGTTACACCTCATAAGAGCTTCACTGGATGCAACACGACTGACAAATATCATGCGGGCGTGTGAAAATCTCGAGGTCCTCGCATACGAAACAACGGTGCCTTGGGATGCCCGAAGGAGGGTGAGCTGTCAGTTCTCAGCCCCGGCGCTACTTACCTGTCTGGAGCCTCAACGGCAAAATCTCAAGTCGCTGCGCGTCGATCTGGATGTGGCCAACCCCATAGCCATTGAGAAATGGCATCGTTGCCCCCAGTACGGAAGTTTCCGGGCATTCGAGAACCTCAAACACCTGGAGGTGGAGCAAGGCATACTACATGATTTCGGCAATTTGCCACCCAATATCGAGACTGTCACAGTTCTCGCTTGCGATTATCCAGTCTATGACATGATGGCTGGATTGGCCGAGTATTGCAGAAATGACTTTTCACGTCTAGAACTTGTTTCTCTGAGGCCCAAATTCCCACCTGCGAGCGGCTTGCTCGGTATCCCTGGCGCGTACGCCTTCAACGATCTTGAGGATGATGATTGGTTTCGAGAGCAGTATAGAGTCGGTTGCGCAACTTTGGACACTATTGTCAATGACGTCAATTTTGAACTCGAGGTCGAGTGCGATGGGTGGGAAATGTATCAACACGGCGAATTGTGAACTGGCCACCGATGGCGAATAGAGGAGACGAGTGTTGGAAGGGATCCAGTGGATCCAGTATCTCTGTTTGGTACGATTGATACCATATGGACCCTTTGTACGAAAGTTTCTCCCCCACAATCTTTCAGGATAAGCTGTTCCGTCTAACAAGACTGCTTGAGATCGTGTCCTGCAGTAGGTGAAGTGTACGGGTTCTATGTGGGAATGCCATATTGAACGATTTTGGTAACAACAATAAACATCATAGGCACGGAGGCTAGATACAAAAGTCCATAGTGGTGATACAATATCTTTATTGATTCTAATATCAGTTCTCAAATATCGAGGAGCGTCCGTTGCGGGTGTAAGTCAACTGCAAAAATCATATCCTGTTTGACTTGATGAGATAGTAGGATCCTAAACATCAGCTACCAGCTTCCACACACTGACCGGAAGCGGCACCGATCCGATAGCCTCGGGCAGCTTGCTATGATCGAGAAACCATGGGCTGGTGATGTGGGCCCATCCCATGACAAAGGCCATATTAACCAGCCAGATCGCCAACCGCGAGAACCCATTTTGAGGGAGAAACAGCGGAAGAAAGCGATCAGAGAGGAGATGTTGCGCGGCGATGCAGAGCGGCAAGATGCAAAAGAAGGTCATCATCATACTGACTGCGAAGACGTCCTGAGAAACTGCGTACGTTCCGGCCACATGCACGACACCGGACACAAAGAACGTCAACGAGATCACCAGGAAGCGCTGCAGGCCCATTGGGATCGGTTTCACAGGCATAATGGCCGCGCGGGAAAGCGCCAAGAAGGGATTGCGACAGAGGTCATGCCACATCTTGCCCCAGATATCTTAATCGAAGACAACAAATCGATCTCTAGTCAGCCAAAATATCAATCCCAGGGTGAAGAAGAAGTGTGATCATACCACGCAAATTGAACGCGAGCAAATGCCGGACGGATCCAAAAACCGGTGGATACATCCAAGGCTCTCCCGCATGCTTGGAGGTGAAGACCCTGACCAAGCCCACGGAAAAGACCCCGACGGCGGAATGAATCCCATCGACGAAGGCATAAGCGGCGATCCAACAGCCGGGGGACAGCAGGTACCTCCGCACGACCACCTCGCTGGTCGCGGGGGAGACATGCCAGCCTAGCACCCCGTTCAGGAAGCCGTCGACGCTGTCGCACAGCCGCGGGTAATTGCGCGCGAACGCGGCCTGGTAGGTGTCCATGGCCAGGTACGCGAGGAGGACGGTCCAGAGATGGGCGCGGAGAAAACTGCTGCGGTCTCCCACCGCCACGACGACCATGTTCCTGTGCTCCGGCACACAGTGATCGCCGCCCGCCTCGCCTTCCACGGGCCGCAGCGGCGGGAGATACTTGGTGGAGCCGTGATTCCAGCCGATGGCGCGCGGGTTGGCGATCAAATCGCAGACGCGCAGGAGCCGGCGGAAGCCCAGGGCTCGCGGCAGGGGCTCCCAGGAGTACAGGATGGACGAGGACACATGCGAGACCTTTTCCAGATGTTCCAGTTCATCGAGGTCCTGCAGGATCAGCAGCTCCACGGCGCGGATGATGAACGACGCGCTCATGAAGGCATTGGTGTATGCCACAAAGTCTCCGTGGCCCTTGAGGGGGACAAAGATGGCATGCAGCGCACTCAGAACCAGAGCCCCGTAAAGTGCGGGCTTTAAACCGGGGATCACGGGGAATTTGACCTGCAGGAACAGGGTCACCACCAGCAATGGTAATGTGAACATCTTGACTGTACAAAGGGGGGGGTGGGGCCGGGATCTCTGTTAGCAAAGCTATGTTCACAAGTTAATTTAACAAGGATCTTTTTTGCTGAAGAGATAATCTAAATGCCAACAACATCAAGAAAAAGAAGGAACACGGTGTATAAGATTATTAGACTAGTGCACATTACATCGCATCGCATCGCATCGCCGTGGCAGCGCAACGCAACACAACACAACACAGCACAACTGCTGGAGTTCAGTTAATATTTTATCGGTCTGGCCGCAATGCAGGCTGGCTGGTGGTGAGTGCGGCTGAGGATCCGCGATGCTCCGCTTTATTATTAATAATCGCAGCCTTGTCTCGGACTTTAGACGCTGGTCGGATTCTACATTGACCCGACTGGCATGAAAAACTGGGGAGGGTCATGGGGACGCGATTCTCGCTGGGACCCTTTCAAGTTCTTTCTACAGATTATCTGTGAACGTGGGGATCTGGCCCATGGTAGCCATACATAAAAACGCTATGGCTAGATGTGCCGATGTGGCGGTCGGTCGACCCCGGAAACCGGAATATCGCAAGCTTACGGATGATGCGGGCTGCTCTTCATGGCCTTGTTGGTAAAGGGTTGGGTGGCGGCTCTGAGTAAAGTGCATTCTCTCAAAGTAAAAGTACTCAAAAGACAAACCTTCTTAACCTACTTACAAATATGCTATGTACATGGGCATGCTAGTTCCACAACCTAAGATAGCATCTTGTCCGACGTTTGACAGGAGATATCGAAGGTGGATCTGATAAGCGCGCTTGCCGGGATAAGCCAAGCGGTGATCGATGATGTCTGTGAGTACTACTGTACTGCGTACTGCCTGGCGCTTTTATCGACTCATACCAAGAGGTCGTCATTTTGGTTGTAGATGAGAAGTGGCAACAAAGAGTCAAAAGTCCTTCGCGATGATCTTTTCAACCCTTGTTGCCTGAATGCAGTCAGCAATCATCTGAGCCAGTAATGACGTCATGGGACCTCAGCATAGAAACGCTGTAGTTAGTTAGCAAGTCACAAGCTGTAGTCAGCAATACAAGGACCTAACCTGTCTTTGTTTCGTTGATGTTGGGTGTAGGTCAGAGCCGAAGCTGTTCTACAGCAATTCAGAAGAAACTAGGAGGCCAAGATCGAGGCCAATAGAACCGCATCACTTCACGCCACCTGTTGGTTGCATACAAGTACAGTTCACACACCCCAATTCTCTGGTGCAAAGCCTTCAGCCAAGATGTCATGCAGTTGTACAGCCCATGTAGATCATAGGCTCAGCCTCAGCACCTCGCGGGATGTCATCCTCATATATACCATCAGCTCAGCAACTAGAACCCCTTGATTCTTTGATTCTTCCCCAATGATACAATCGGCATAGCATAGCGGCAAGACACAAGATGTCCGACCATCTAGCCACTGCGTGAGCCGTATCTCAAGACTTGTTGCAAATGCTGTTATCTCTGTACTGTACTCACGACCTCGCAGATCCCTCCTGACCACGCTTGGTCTCCGCGCGACTCCCTCCTCACCCACCCCCAACCACGCAGCAGGGTATATCATCGGCAACTGGTTCCTCGCCCACGGAATACTCAACCCCCGAGCAGCCATACGACGACTCGGGCAAGACCACAATAATGCTCCACGCGAGAATCTGCTCAAATACGGCGAAGCAGCCGTGCAAGCCGGCAAGATCACCCGAGGCCAACTGAACCGACTCAAACGGCGGGAAGCTGCCTACGAGAATGTCATCGAGGGGTTTCCGCTATTTATCGCCGGGGGTACGCCGTTTGTCTCTATCAACCATCCTCCAGAAAGCAAGACATGCTAATTTTTGGACCCCCTTCTTCCCGAGGGGGTGGGCTGAACAGTCCTTCTCGCCCTTCACGCAGGTGTCCCGACCGAGATAATCAACTGGATTGGGTTGTGGTTCTCGGTGATGCGGGTGGCATATGCAACCGCGGCCGTGGCGATTGAATCGGAACCACTGAACTTTGTGCCGTCGCTGCTGTGGTGGTTGGGCAACGTGAGTTGCTTCACAGCGTTGATGTTGGCCGGGAAGAGGCTGTGATTTTGCTTCCTCTTCTTGAGCTGAACAAGCTCTTTTGGGAAAGCTTCGCGAGTGGAATGGATTCAAAATCAGGCCTTGTTGGCCATCTGAATACCAGTAACAGAAGTAAGAAAAATCGTACGGGTTCATGTTTCCGATGAAAGTGGGGGAGATTGGGGACGCCAGATCTGCGGGGGTTGCCGAGGTTGAGGGGTTGGGGGAATTTGAGGGTCGCGACGATCTTTCAGGGGAAGTCCTTTGGTTTGATGGGTTCGTAAAGGCAGTCGAGTCTTGCGTGTCTGTTATCCGACTTCTGGTACCCACCATCTTCAATTCACAATTAGTCACTGATCGAGTGCATGGTTTTTTGTGCTCGGAAATCCATCGCGTTGTTCTAGCGGAAACTTGAAAGAGAGCGATATCGGGGACTAACCCCGGATCTAACTCCTCCTTCTATAAGTCGTCACCACATTGCTTTTGCGGGGAAGGGTTGGACTTGTTGGCACTGAGTCAATATACTTCTGTTGAATGTCCACCTTGGCTTAATATCCTTCTCGTAATCGACCGGCCTCTCACCGCATCATCAACCCGTGCTGATGAGTCTAGTTCAACGAGGCAAGTCTGCATGTTATCCTGGACCGTTTCCATTAGATTGATACAAAGTCATATCCCGACCTGCAGGCTCAGTCAATAACCGTTCCATCCATTGGTGGAAGATCCTCCAAGACCGAGCAGCGATCCGGGGAAATTACCCCAGGACCAGTCCATTCCCAAATCTTGGTACGGAGCTGTCAAAAAAAGAGCCAAGATGCCTAGCCATGACATCAGTCAAGGTAGCTCTTCAGGGCAATTCCTACAGGTGGAGAAATCAAGCTATGCCCCGGAAAGATTTCCCCAGACTTCTTTCCCCAGCGGAGGGGAATCTAGGGGGTGATGCAGGCGGGTAAATACAGATCCTGATATCAAAGACAGGCATAAATAATCAGACTGAGACGGTCGCTCGAGAAAAGGTTGAGTAGTACAAGCTCAATTGCAAGTGATAAGTCAATCATGAAGCTCGTTTCAATTGCTGCGCTTCTCCTGGGCGCCGTGCCTGTCGCCGTGAACGCCGCTGCCGTGGGCGGAACCCCCAATGGAGCCAAAATCATACCAGTCTCTGATGCAGCTGGCTTGAGAAGTGTGGGAGCGCATTCTTCCAAGTACCCGAACCGCAAGACTGTGACAATCCGTCCATCCAAGAACGACTACGACGATATCTCGAGTGATTTCCTTTGGGGAATCAAGCAGGCCAACCACGGCGGACGGCTGCTGCTCGAGAAGGGCAAGAAGTATGTGATTGGAAAGAAGTTGGATCTGACATTCTTGGACAATATTGAAGTGCAGCTGGAGGGTGAACTGAAGGTATGTTATCAGCTGCTCGGAGGCAACCCTGAGGAGGCAAGATAACTGACCCAGATGGTTGTAGTTCACGAACAACATCACCTACTGGCAAGCAAACAACTACTACTATGACTTCCAAAAGTCAATCACATTCTGGCGCTGGGGTGGAAACGATATCAAGATCTTCGGCAGTGGCACGTTGAACGGCAACGGACAGGCTTGGTACAATGCGTTTGCTGGACTCGAGATCTTGGTAGGTTTTTTTCACCTCTCGCAGAAGCTCAATGTTCAGGGCTGACAAGGCAGGACTCCTCCAACACCTTCTACCGGCCGATTCTGTTCCTGACCGACAACGCGACACGTGTATCTGTGGAGGGTATCACACAGTTGAATTCGCCATGCTGGACCAACTTTTTCGTCAACACCAAGGACATCTCCTTTGATGATGTGTATATCCATGCTTTTTCGACCAACGCTTCGGTATGTCAAGGCGCGTCAAACCCCGAAAGCTGGCTAACAGCATAGGCTCTCCCGAAAAACACCGACGGATTTGATTCGTACAACGTCGATGGCCTGACCGTCACCAACACCCGCGTCGATATCGGCGATGATTGCTTCTCGCCCAAACCCAACACCACCAACATCTTTGTCCAGAACCTGTGGTGCAACAATACGCACGGTGTGAGTATGGGCAGTATTGGACAATACCCAGGAGAACTGGACATCATTGAAAACGCCTGGATTGAGAACGTGACGCTGCTGAATGGCCAGGTAGGTGCAACTAGGCAATTGTCTTGTTGATCGAGGCTAACAAACATAGAACGGCGCTCGACTCAAGGCCTGGGCTGGACCAGATGTGGGATACGGTCGCATCAACAACATTACCTACAAGAACATCCAGATTCAGAACACCGACAACCCAGTAGTGCTGGACCAGTGCTACTTCGACATCAATGCCACAGAGTGCGCCCAGTACCCGTCTTCTGTCAACATCACGAACATCCTTTTTGAGAACATCTGGGGTACCTCCTCAGGAAAGGAAGGTCTTGTGGTTGCTGATCTAACGTGCTCGCCTGCCGCTGTCTGCACGAATGTCACCCTGCAGGATGTCTCGCTGACGAGTCCGGCGGGCAGCCCGGCGGAGATTATCTGCTCGGGCATTACGGGGGGCATTGGAGTGGATTGTGTGGATCAAACCAACTCAACCTCGACCAAGCGATAGTTTCATTGTTCGTGTGACCTATCAAGCATAACTGATTTCATTTCTGGCGTGTCGAGTACCTTGTAGGTATACGCAACGGGACCTTGCAAGCAAGGACCTTGGGAGCGGCCGTCACCAATCAGAACAATGATGATAAATTGCAATCGTGAGAGCACCTTGGTAGCTTGCATCTATAAGTATAGAAGTGTACAGTAGAAATATTTGATGGAAATCTGGTGAGACGTGCCAATTCTTTCTCTAGTAACGAGCCTTGGCGCAGCCGAACGAAGATGGTCATTGACTCGGGACGGGAGACTCTCTCCTACAAGGCGGGTGAGATCAAGGCGGACGCCTCATCTAAGCCAGATACCAAGGATACCAACATCACACTCGATAAGGAGAGCAGGAAGCCACTTCCTGTGACTCTCCTCTCTGGGTTCCTGGTTCGTCATTCAGCATTCAGCATAAGAATTTCGTCGAGCTCTAGGTACTAATTCATCAACAGGGCAGTGGAAAGACCACTCTCCTCGAGCATATTCTCCAGTCGCCTGACCATGGCCTTCGCATTGCCGTAATTGTCAATGACATGAGCAGGTAAGTCTCCCTTGACACGCTCATTCAGGGCTCTGCTAACGAGAGATCCATCCAGCCTCAACATCGACGCCACCCTCATCAAACACCACACCGTCTCCCACACCAAAGAGTCCCTGATCCAGCTCCAAAATGGCTGCATATGCTGCACACTCCGGGGTGATCTTCTCTCCGAGCTCGCGCGCCTGACCACCCAGAAAGAGGTCGAGTATGTCGTGATCGAAAGCACAGGCATTAGCGAGCCCATGCAAGTTGCCGAGACATTCACAGCGGAGTTCAGCGCCGCGATGGTCCAAGCTGAAGCAGAGGGAGGTGTATTAGACGAAGAAGGCAAGAAGATTTTGGATCAGATGTACTGCCACCCAAGTCTTCCTTTCCCCCCCCGGAGCAATCATCCACTAAAACTTGCCCACAGAAACACCCTCGGTGGTCTCCACCAACTCTCCACCCTCGACACGACAGTAACAGTCATCGATGCCTTCAACCTCCTCTCGAACCTTGACACCACCGACTTCCTGTCCGACCGCTACGGTGCGGACACAATCATCCCCGAGGACGAACGCACCATCTCCGACCTGATGGTCGACCAGATCGAGTTCGCGGACGTGATCCTCATCAACAAGATGGATATGCTGGCGTCGCGGCCGCACGACCGCGACCGGATCATGCGGCTCGTGACGACGCTGAACCCGTCGGCGAAGGTCCTGCAGACGAGCTATTCCCGCGTCGACGTCAAGGAGATCCTGGGCACGGGCCGGTTTGATTTCCTCAGGGCGGCGTCCGGGGCCGGGTGGTTGCGCAGCTTGCACGAGATGAGCAAACTGAAGATGGGGAATGGGGAGGAGAGGTGGGCGCCTACGCCGGAAACTTTGGAGTAAGTTTCACAATCCCCTGGTGACCTACCTCACCGTTCTGCGGTTTGTTCCGTTCCGGATCTCAATTCAGAGAGAATATCCTCGGATGATTTGCTGATCAATCTTTGTCCTCCCTCGTGGGAAAAACAGGTATGGAATCAACAACTTCGTCTACACTGCGCGACGGCCTTTCCATCCTCGCAGATTATACAACCTGCTTCATGACAAGTTCATTATCCTACAGAATGCGGCTGATGATGCTGGTGCTGATGATGAAGAAGAGGAGGAGGAGGACCAAGAAGAAGACGCTACCGCTGAATCCGACACGGAAATGCACTCCGATTCGGAGGAAGAGGAGGAGGAAGAGGAAGACCCGACCCAGCCCACCCCCCAAGAGATTCTAGCCAACAAACGCGCGCACCCCCTCCTCCAACCCCTCCTGCGTTCCAAGGGCTTCTTCTGGCTCGCCACTCGACCCTACCAGTTCGGCGAATGGAGCCAGGCCGGCGCCATGTTGACGTTGAACTGCGGGGGTCCGTGGTTCGCCGAGGTCCCGGACGAGGCGTGGCCCGAGGACGGGGACGTGCGCAAATCCATCGAGGAGGACTTCCAGGGCGAGTGGGGCGATCGGCGGCAGGAGATCGTGTTCATTGGGGAAGGGGTGGATGTAGACGGGGTAACGGGTCTGCTGAATGAGTGTCTGTTGAGCACTAAGGAGATGAAGAGGTGGGAGAAGGTGATGAGGGACCGGAAGATGGAGAGGGGGGAGAAGCAGGAGGTGATGGCGGGGATCTGGGAGGATGGGTGGGAAGAATGGCCTGCTGTTGATGAGGAGGATGAGGATGAGGATGAAGATGATGACGATGAAAATGACGATGTCGAGGAAAAGACCGAGGATGGGAAGAAGAAAAGGAAGATCAGCGAGTTTATGCACGGGGGTCATGCCCACCACGGGCACTCGCATAAACATAAATAATTACATGTCTGGATAGATGGCAGTAAAAGCATGAATAATATCTCTGTTCTCAGAATGAACCTGTACAGGCTTTGGCGGACCTGCTATTTTATTTACTAATCGAAGGCATTGTCAAAGTTTAGTGAAATAAGACCGAACAATGTATATTTATTGATGCCTTGTTGATTGTCCAATCGTGTAAACAGTAAGTTTATAGTAGAAACATTTCTTGCTGTGGGTATCTGGATTCTTATTACTATATTGGCGTTCCTTCACTCTCGTAGCAAGTATGGGTAATGCCGTTTGCAGTAGGTAAAGATTTGGTTCATGGAGAGGAGGCACAAAATATATCCTCCACACAATTGCACAATTTTGGTCTTTCTTTATTGAAACCTACATATTTTGAAAAATAAATAGCCTAGCATCCAATCAGCTCGCATGGCTTAGATGGTAAAGCGCAGCACTAGTAATGCTGAGATCCTCGGTTCGAGTCCGAGTGTGAGCAATTCTTCTTTTTGCGTCTCCTTTTTTTGTTTCCAATTGACATCCAAACTCCTCATATAGAAGAGTATCTCTTATTGCCTCGGGGTACGAAGGCGGTCATGAGATTACATGATCAGTACGTGATGCTTCTATCCGACCCCGCATCATCACTACGACAGGCTTTCCCGAGATCCGAGATTCCGCAATGACCGAGAAATACTCATATAATTAATGTAATACGTTGTCTAAAAATGACTATATCAAATGACTGACAAGGACCCTGCTGCAGCCACATCATTAGTACGGTTACAGGACCTCTGCCAACCACCCCTTCACCCTCTTCCCCTGGACCGTCTCACCCCACTCGCCCAGCGCCAGATTATAGATCGGCGCCACATGACCTTCACCCTCACCCACGCACAACTCCACCTTATCCGGCCCAAGCCCTTCCTGCAAGTTCCTGGCGAATGCATCAATGAAAGGCAGTATGATCTCCCTCTCCCCAGCACAGACTAATACCTTCTCCACAGGGAAAGACGCCAGCCAGTCGGTTGGGGCCGTCGAGAGATCGGTGTAGTAGTCATGTTTGCCAGTACCCATGTACGCCTTAGCCCATGGCCCGCCAACGGCCGGGGTGATGATATCGCCCCGAGAGTCGATCTTTGACTCGTCCAGTTCAATCGAGGCAACAATATCCTTGGGTAAGATAGTCTGGTCAAGACTCGTCCAGGGCGCGATCATGATGGCGCCGCGGATTTTGTGGTCCGGCCCGCCGGACAAAGAGAGAGGTGGAAGATCGGGATGGGGATGGGTCATGTGCGCGAGGACCGCCCCGACGAGATTCCCGCCGGCGGAATCACCGCCGAGGAGGATCTGCGACGGAGAGCGGTTGGTTTCCTGGAGGATGTATCGCAGTGCTGAAAGGGCTTGGCGGATCTGGGTGGGATAAGTCGCTTGAGGAGCGAGGGTATAGGTGAGGGTAAAGATCGCAAGCGATTTGGGTTTCGGCCTAGCTTGGGTATCCGCGAGTAGTTGAGTGAAGAAATGAAAATAGCCGTCGTTGGCCGGGAGGGCGAAACCACCTCCTAGAATACCATGAGGACCTGGTTTGACTTGGTGGGACGAGGTGCACATACCGTGATACCAGATCAAGACACGCTCAGCATGCTTATAGTCCCCCAGCCAGTGTCCCAGGGCACCTTCGCCAAGATCCACAGTCTTCGAGGGCAGATGATGGCGGCGCATGAAGCGCTTATAGATGGTATCTGTGGTAGGAAGCAGATATCTAAGCCGCTCGCCGTCAGCCAAGCTAGTTCCCTAATGAATAGAGGAGAACGCAGAAGCATACTGCAGCTGGGCCACTGAGAAGCGTGATGTAGCTTTGCGCATGGCTGCATAACCCACGTGTAACAGCAGAGTTGAAGGATAATGATGGGTTCGCCAGGGACTGGTCACCAAAGCCCAGAGGATAGTACCAATAAGCGCCGCGAGAGCAGGCAGACAGTCGAGTTTCTGGAACAAAGAGAGAGCTGTCATTGTGGCCAGGTCACACAAAGGTAGCCTGTGCAGAACAATGTGTGCAACATGGGGAATAAATGTGATAGGAGAAAGATTATTAACAAATGCCCGAGTTGCAGGAAAGAGGGACCGAAATGGAGTCGACATGTGAGCGGGATCGCAACTGTTGCCATTTTGGGCAAGGATGAACCAAACGCCCTGAAGTTGAGATTTCGGCGTTGAGCCAAAAACCCAAAATTGGCCGCATTTTGGCCTCAACCTCGGACGAACACCAAAAAAACATTCATTGACCGAGGCCATGTGAGTCGATTCAGAATCGATATAATCCTGTCTCTTCAACCGTCTCAATGTCGTTCATTCTTCTTCTCGCACACCACCTACACTTCCTATCACATCACCATGGAAGAACAGTTTGATGTCCTCATCATCGGCGCGGGCATATCAGGCATCAACGCTGCATATCGCCTGCAGTCGCATTTCCCTCACTATCGCTATGCCATTCTTGAAGCACGCGACCAGCTCGGAGGCACCTGGGATCTCTTCAAGTATCCTGGTATCCGCTCCGATTCGGATCTTTTTACCTTTGGTTTTGCATGGTATCCTTGGGACCAGGACAACCCGATCGCTGAGGGCTCGTCCATCATCGAGTATCTTCACCGGGCTACCGCCAGCAAGGGTATAGACCGGCGCATCCGATATCAGCATCGTCTGCTGGGCGCCGACTGGTCCTCTTCAGAGAAACGCTGGTCGTTGGCTGTCGAGCATGCAGGCCGCTCCCAGTCGATGTCGGCGCGGTTCATCATTTTCGGTACTGGCTACTACGATTACCAGCAGCCTCTGCAGGCGGACATTCCCAACTTGACTCAATTCAATGGCCAAATAATTCACCCGCAGTTCTGGCCCGAGGACCTTGACTATAGCGATAAGCGCGTTGTCATCATTGGCAGCGGCGCAACGGCCATCACATTGCTCCCCAAGATGGCCGAAAAGGCGGCGCGAGTGACCATGTTGCAACGCAGTCCAACTTACATTCTGTCCTTACCCAATCGTCAACGCTCACCACTGCGGTACATCCTGCCGACTGCCTGGTTTCGCCAACTGCAGCGCATAATCTGGCTGTTCACCGCGCGGTTCTTTTTCCTTTTCTGCCAGGCTTGCCCAACAGTGGCGCGTGCCATCCTCCGTGTGCAAGTCAGTCAACAGCTACCGAAGGCGGTGTCACTGGCACCACATTTTGTGCCGCGTTATAATCCCTGGGACCAAAGGTTGTGTGTCTGCCCCGATGGGGACTTCTTCAAAGCGTTGCATCACGGTGTGGCCGACATTCGGACCGACACCATCAAGACCGTTACCGCAACGGGGATTCAGCTCGACTCGGGAAACACCCTTGATGCTGACATTATTGTCACTGCAACAGGACTGCGTCTGCAGGTAGCGGGCGGAGCCTCCATCACGGTAGACGGTATTCCACAGCACCTATCCCAGAAGTTCCTCTGGCGTGGTATTATGATGCAGGATATCCCCAATGCTGCTTTCGTTCTAGGCTATACCAACGCGTCATGGACACTCGGCGCTGATGCGACTGCCCGCTTCCTGTGTCGCTTCCTGCGCGAACTGGACACCCGTGGACAGGCTGCCGCTGTGCCGCGGTTGCGCCCTGACGAGGCCCAGAATTTGCAGCAAAAGCCGCTGATGAACCTTAATTCGACGTATGTGGTGCGTGCGGCGGAGAATCTGCCCAAAACTGCAGATCAGGGGCCGTGGGTGCCGCGGGACAATTATTTGCAGGACCTCTGGTTTGCCAAGTTTGGGAGTCTGGAGGGACTGGAATTCATCGGAGAGGCCAAGAAGGCGCAATGAAGTGGGGCTGGCCTGATTGTTGTATGTTAATGTTCAGTCTTTGTTTTGTGTCGTTGTACCCAGTACATAGATGATAATTCAAACATGTTTTGCTCCAATATGCAACCAACGCAAGTTCCGAAACGACGGTCGCGTGGAGGGGCTGACCTCGTCGAACGGGAATGCTCTGCCAAACAATTTGAAGTGACAACGACGACGGCCAGCTTGAGAGGTCTGCTAGGCACAGATCTTTGTGATATATGCCAGCCACACATCAAGGTCGCTATCTGAGCTGATTGTCAGAGGAGTCAGCCCTATCTCAAGATGGTTCTGTTTCAAACCATCAGTCGCTCGTTCATGATGCCACTGTCAGACACCTCGGGATTTTCTCCAAGCGTGCAAAGATTGTTTGCAGGGTGGTCACAGCTGAAGTGATTGCCCCATACACCTTCCCTTTGACCCAAACAAGAACGGGACCACTTATAAAGTAACCCTTCAAAACCTTCAGCGTCAAGGTCTTACTTTGTGGTCTGAAAAGTGGCTGTACCGAAGCGCGTCTCGAACGTAAAGAAAGTTGGTGCGGGAATCGGAACGGCGCCGACCGCGGGGCAAGATTCGCGGTCGCCCGGGTGCGCGCGTCGAGGCGATGTTATCGGCGCATATGACGGAGAGGCAACTCTCTGCGACAACCTCTAGCGAGCATTGAACCCAAGTAGCGCCATTCCATTAGATCAAAGTGGACAATCTCGTCGTCCAACCGGTAAATACACATAAGAAAGGTGATAGATGTAGATCGGTGAAAGGTACCACTTCTTGGCATGGGTTATCCATCGCGACTTTCTCCAGCGGATTTCCCCAAAGCCGTCCAGACCAAGGATATCATTGTCCAGATCAGTTCATGTGTGTAGTGCGTGCTCTTCGCGATCGCGCATAGCATGGGCAATTGTAAACCGGAGAACAGCTGCCGTGATTGGCGCGGATAGGATCGGGTCGGATTTGCGACATTGGATGGCAGCTAGTCAAATTAGATCTGTCAGCTACAAAGGACGCGGCGTACCGGGCCATTACGCCGTGCGAAAGTAAACAAGTGAGCGCTGGCTGCGCACGTCGGGATTTGTCAGGTTGAATCATCTCGCTCGTCGATCGAACGGGATATTTCACACCAGTGAGTCAGAGAGAGGAGATATTTGATGACGATGGAGATATAGACGAGAATCACAATTGAGAACGTAGGAAGTAGTTTGATGCGCACTGAACGAACATGCGCGTAACTCCTAAGCTAGATTCTGAGCCATGCTCTCAAAGTAAGTCCTCGAATGAGTACTATGCGATCACGATCGGTTACCATACTGGATTCGAGGAAAATCAACCCATGTTATCGTTGGCGCACGCGGCTGGGGTGTCACGGGTAGATACTTCTTGCATTGCCCACGCAATGGCAGTCATCAATAGCACGTTGGTCGCATAGTCGAGACTTAGCGAGCAATGGACTGGAAAGGTTCAGCATACCCAGTGTTGCTGTCATGCGCGAATTACTCCACATGTGCGATGATGGATTTAGCATAGTAGAAGCGCGCCCGATGTTGCTATGAAGGGGTCTGGCCATAACCCCAATCCCGCGCCGATCATGATTGGCGAAGGGGTTCTCTTATGTTTCCCCTCAGCTCTCTTGTTCCGACCTTCGCCCCCTCTTTTTTGCCTTCTTTTGCCTTTCGAAATACGTTTTCGAATTATGCTGCAGCTCAGGTGTTGCGCTCGTATCGCTGCGAATTTTCCGGCCGATACGATGGACTGTTTCAGGCACGGATCTTTTGAAATGACAGTTAACCTATGAGGTCTTATGACACTTTCAGATTGATTAGTACGTATTGACTGATTTGCTTCTTGCGTTAGACTTAGTGATGGCTGGCTGGGGAGAGGATGGTGGCGGTGGTGTTGGTGTTGTTGTGTAAAAATAGGCAGGAGGGTGGAAAGGGTCGGAGTGTCAGATTGTCAGATTTGAGTCCATTTCGGCCCCCCTCCCTAGAGACAAGTTCTCTCACTACTACAAACTCCCCAAAACTTCGTACGGCTTCGCTCATTCCATATATGCTACTATTTCCAAGTCTCTCGGGGAATTCAGACCCTGCTAAACTATTCGCTTGTTTTATCCCCATCATTTTCACCTTCTGCTCTGGAGAAACTTACCCTTCCCCTCAAAAAAGGAGCGACAAGTTACCACATCAGCGCATCCTGAAGAGCTGATAGTCTCGGTCTTTGTCTATCTTAGACCGTCTAGGATGAATCCCAGACATGCATTAGCTTTCAGCCAGCCAGCCAGTCCTCTCTTTTTTGAGTCATCTCTATTCCCCTGGATCCGTCTAACAAGCCCAACGGCCTCCCCGAAATGCAACTCAAGCCACAAGTCTTTCCCTAGTTATGCCTACCACTGTAGGATAGGACGACTTGACCGATGCTGTCTTCGGATCTCTCGATTAAGAGACAGATAATCAACAAATAATCAACGAACCTTTTGAAAAAAAAAGCCATCATTTTCCCATAAAATAAACACTTACTCTGTGCGTAGCTCGTCCTGAGAGCCATAAAGATATCACTAACCGTGAGGAAACATGGTCTCCAGACGTACTCATCAGGCAGACTAGCCCCGCGTCGATCGCAATCATCTTACACAACAAACACACTTTAAACCGCAATGGCAATCTATTCTAGGCTGACAGCTTAAAGGGAACGACGAACTGATCGGAGGAACCGCCGCCGCAGCTGTCTCGAAGATCTTTAATCTACACCCGCCGGGGCACCCGCTAAGAACATTGTCCCTTGGCGCGGCCGTGCACAGGACTTGAAAGACTTTCGCTGACGGGACTAGCGCTAATTACGGAGGTACTTCTGCCCCTCCCCCATGTCGTGCTACTGCTTTGGTTCAACATTGGGTACAGCCGCTAATAGCATGTAGTTACCGCCTGCATGGCTAACGTGGACAGGAGGTGCTACCGCATATTTGGAAAGGACGGAGTGCTATGAGTGAGTACCACCAGGCGGACATATCCGTGGATGACAAGATTCCGGACGCCCATGGAAGAGCACGCGAGATTTTCGTTTAGACGGCCGAGAACATGGACGCTTCAAAGCCCGTTCGGCCTTCAGAATCATGGCGATGCTTATATCCAAGAGGTAACATCCGGGCGGCTTGGGTACCCGCAACTGTGACCGATAAGTCTATCTCTTACGGCTGCACGTCTAGTCAGCCGTCTTTCAACAAATACTCCGCACGGGAGGGTTGACTGGATCTCTGGCTACAACTGCATGGGTCCGACAGCACAGAACCTCAGGATGGGGGTATTACTGATGTAGGGCGAAACTCTGGACCATGCCAAAGCGAGAAGTGATTGAAGCTTCGCTACCTGTAGTAGGCTGTTGTGACAACACGGGACGCAAGGGGCTAGCTAAGCAACCTCGTGGTAGTGGAATTGGTGTGGGTGGTTGGGAATGGGGCTGTGGTGAGAAGCGAACTTACCTGCGCACTTTAGAGCCAATCTGCGCTTTCATTACAGGTTTTTCATGCACCATCATCTTGAATCGATCAAAAATTGATCTTGCAAGCAACATCATATCTACCTCACTGTCCTCGTGCTAATGAGAATCGATCGACATTTGACAAACGAGGCAAGCTGGTGCCAATGCCCTGGAACAGGACGGCCACTAGTCTGCATTGGGCAGGATCATGATATATCATGGATCCATCCACATTGACATTTTAGCCATTCATGATTCTATCCCCGCTTCATATGGATCCCAGCGGGTCGATTCCATGGATGAATCTCCAAGGCAGACGGGACGTACAGGACAAGCGATCTGACTATATCCAGTACTCATCCACAGCCGTTTCAAAGGGCTTTGAGGTAGAACAGAGTCATTTGGTCCACTATAGCCAAGCTTTGTGGTTCGTACCACGTCTGTCTGACACTGTTAGTAGGCCACTACTCAAAATTACATACCCCATGAATTGTTATGAAAAGGCAAGAGGAGTACAGGGAACTAGTCGCTCGAACAGGTAAGCTAGAGCACACAAGAACACACCGTTTACTTGTGTGTATTCTATCTACTTGGTGCGTGTAAGTTGGCCATCTCTGTGGGCAGGCAACAAGCTCTCTCTTGTCGGAATCAGTACCCTCAGTATACCTACTGTCATACCTGCGTATAGTATGTGTACGGAAGATGGGGGGTTTCCGACCATAATCAAGCAGTCGGATGGAGCACGCGTTACCAATTGCGGACCTGATTCAGTAAGCCGGATTGGCTCTACGTACCAACAATAATCCACGATCACCACCAGAACCCAGTGAACTAATGTGCCAGCCCCAATTGAGTCAAATGTCAGGAAGAAAACTGCGTCAATCGACAAAATTCGGGCTCTACAATCTTGCATCGGGGACCTACGCGGCCAAGGTACAGGCGAGAAGCAGTCCAATGCGGGCTAAGGGAGTGGATCTGACCTGATTCAGCTACTTCAAGTAAAGTCGACATCACTAGTAGGTAGTTAGTGCTGGGGGAGGGGGAGGGCCGGAGGGGGTGGTGTCCCTTCTTTGCTTCTGCGGAGGTGCCGGAGCATGGCTGGCCGTGCGAACCCACCGCGCGCGCTAAGCGGGCCGGCACGGGGGTTCTTCACACGGGAGTCTGTGTCCTTTCACTTCCCTTCCTCGCCCATTTCCCCAAGCAAACCTGCCTCCGTGCCTGTGCCTTTGCATCTCGGTCTGCTAATAATCCATGGATCTCAAGTCACACTGCCCGAGGTCAAGGCATCAGATGTGGTCGACCAGGCATTCAGTGAATATTAATTCTGTGTTACATTAAACACAAAACGTCTTACAGTACGCCCCCCCACGGTGCGCGCCTGTATGTGTGTGTGTGTGTGTGTGTGTGTGTGTGTGTGTGTGTGGAGATAGATTGCTGCGAATGAGACTGGATAGCAACCTGCAGCAATTTAGTCCTGGCTAGGCAAGCCTACCCCCGCTCTGACCCTTTGGAATAGCTGAA